TCTGAAGGACAGGTGGGGATACTGTAGCTTGGAGGGGCATCAGAATTGCAATGCTGGCATGCCACTGGCAAGATAGTGATAAAGTGAATAATGGTAAAAGTGTTTCTTCTTTTTTTGAGTCACCCTACCTGGTGGGAGATAGCCAGTGAATTGAAAATAAATAAGTAAATAAATATATAGACAGGGTGACCCAAAAAGAAGAAACACTTTCATCATCACTCAATCCATCAGTCTTGCATGAGGGGTGCCGATACTACAGCTGAAAACTAAATATCCACACCTCTCCTTCAGAGTGCAGCCACTGCACTTCCCACCTCCAGGACTAAAGTCCTGTTAACCAGTTTTCCCTGAATCCCTTCATAAATCTTACCCTGCTAACACTCAACAGCATGTGAAGTCCCAAAAACCATATACCTCCACTTATTCCAATTTAACATACACATGCCCGCTGTACGTGAGGCATTACGTAGAATGAAAGGGGGTAAAGCAGCTGGAACTGATGGGATCATGACAGAAATGTTAAAAGCAGGGGGGGATATAGTGTTGGAGTGGTTGGTACTTTTGTTTAATAAATGTATGAAAGAGGGGAAGGTACCTAGGGATTGGCAGAGAGCATGTATAGTCCCTTTATATAAAGGGAAAGGGGACAAAAGAGATTGTAAAAATTATAGAGGAATAAGTTTACTGAGTATACCAGGAAAAGTGTACGGGAGGGTATAACTGAAAGAATTAGAGGTAAGACAGAATGTAGAATTGCGGATGAGCAAGGAGGCTTCAGAGTGGGTAGGGGATGTGTAGATCAAGTGTTTACATTGAAGCATATATGTGAACAGTATTTAGATAAAGGTAGGGAAGTTTTTATTGCATTTATGGATTTAGAAAAGGCATATGTAGAGTGGATAGAGGAGCAATGTGGCAGATGTTGCAAGTTTATGGAATGGGGAGTTTTCCCGGGGTGGGGGGGAAGGGAAAATTTGTTTTTTTGGGAACCTTATTTAAAAGCCAAATTGGAAAATAAAAATTTCCCCTTTAAAAAACATTTTAAATTTTTTTTTTTAAATTTGTATTTTTCCTAAAACTTTTATTCCCACCCTAAAAAAATTGGGGGGGAATAAAAAAAAATTTTTTTTTTTTGGGGGTTTTTCTTTTTTTTGGGCACCTCCCGGGGGGAGCCAAACTTTTAAAAAAAAAAAAAAAAAAAAACCCCCGCTGGATGTCCAAAACCCCCCACAAACCTTTTTTCCTCCCCTCTATCTTTTCCTAGGGCAACCCCCCTTCTTCTTTCCACTTAGTTTTATACACCCTCCAAGACAGCAAAATTTTCTCCTCCTCTCCAAACCACTTCAACCCTTTTTTCAAAAATACTTTTTGTAATTTTAAAACAATCATTTTAATTTGGGAAGCAGGGGGGGCTATGAACGTATAGAAAAAATTTGCTTACTGACTTTAGGGGTCCAATATACAGGGACCCCCCCGCATAACGATTTACCCCGAATGCGACCCAATTTTTAAGTGTATTTATGTTGTGGTTTTACTGTATGTTTGGGGGGCTGAAAGGGGCTAATTACTTCACATATTCCTTAGGGAACAAAATTTGGTCGTCGGGACCCGAACATACTTTTGGATGAAAAAATTCGTTAAACCCGGGGGGCTACTGTACTTTTTTTTTTTTTTTAAAAGTCGGCCGTCTCCACAGGCAGGGGGGACCCCAAAAGAAAAAAAATCCCCCAAAAAAAAAATTTTTCATCATCATTCAAAACTTTCACCTACTCACCATAATCATGTTTTTTCAGAGGTCCAGAACACAACAGTTTAGAACCCTATACATATAAAGATACAAACATATCCCTCCCTTTCTTTTTAAACCCAAAACCCCTTCCTTTTGTCGGGCATTTACCCACCAGGTCAAGTCCGGCATTTTTAAAAACGGTTTTCCCTAATCCCTTACAATAAACTTCCAATAAAATTGTCTTTTTTAATAATGAAACAAATTTTGGTAAACCTATTTTTAATAAAAGGGAAAAAATTATGGGAAAAGGATTTCGCACCATAATTTGTAAACCCCAATTCAAAATCCTTTAAAATTTTCAAAAAATTTGAGTTCTTTCCCCTATAAATTTTTAAACAATGAATTTAATTTAAACCAGGTTTATGAAAAACTGAAATAGTTCAGGGATCAATGACCCAGAGTTTTTAAAAAACCCTTTTACTGTTTTTGATTATATTTTTTTCAGCAAAGTTTTTGAGAATTTTAGAACTAGGGTTTAAAACAAGGGAAAGCGGTAGGACATTGAAAAGGGCTTTGGTAGGGGCCCAAAAAAAAAAAAAAATCCTGAGACCATGCATAATGGAAAAAAAAAACCGACCTTTTTTAAAAAATCCAACTTTGGGTTATTTTTGATTGTATTTAGGTTTTATTTTTTTTTGGTTCATTTGATAGAATGGAAAAAATTATAAAAAGATATTTTGTTGTTTCTTGAAAGAACTGGAAAGGGGGCTCAATAGGGGGGAAATGGATTTTGCCCCTTTTTTAAAAGAAAAAATGATGGTCTTTTAATAAAGCCCAAGTAACCTTTCTAATATGCAGCATAAGGGTTTAATTTTTCAATTTTTTCAAAATGCAGTATTGCAAACATAAAAAATTCATTTTTTGTTTGAATAAAAAATTCAAAATAGAAAGCATTTAATACAAGGGGGCCTGGGAGGGAGTGAACAAAAAAAAATGTTTTTTTAGAGCCGGGAAGTTGATTTTATTTGGACTTTTTTTGAAATTGCATTTTTTTAAAATTTTCGTGAAATTGGACAAATTGCAAATTTCTGACCACTTTTTATTGGGTGTTGAAATCGGTAAATGTGCAGTTTTTTGTACTAATCGATAAAAAAAAGGGAGTTCTAAAAAATAGCTATGAGTTTGTTCGACGGGAAAAAAGGAATTTCCCAAAAAAATAGGGCCCCAAAAGGGGGGCGAAACCCCAAATTCATAAATATCACGGGGGTCGCAAAACATCGCGAGAGTGTAATTCCGCAGTTTTCCATAAAATTTTCGTTTTTTTGGGGGGCATTAAAATTTGGGGAAAAAGATTCTCTATCATTTAAAATTTTTTTTTTTTGGGGGGGGAAATTTTTTGCGACACCGGGAGACCCCTCAGATTTGGGGTTTGACGTAAAGGATTTAAACTGGTAAAAAAAATTAAGGATAACATACTTACTGTATCAAAAACATACAAAGGAAAGAAAAATTAATTTACACTGAATGTAAAAAGGGGTTTTAAGATTTATTTGCAATTTACTTGTTCTGACACACAATTTTAGAAAGTCAAAATTTTTTAAAGGCATTAATTTCACACTTGCTAACAGGACGTATAGCACAGTATCTCCCAGAAAATTACGTCTACCAGCCATTGCTAAACAAACTTGCTTTACACTTGTAAAAGATAAAAATAATGGAAAAAGCCCTGTCTCAACACATAGTAAAACTGTTGGTACTCCTTTATTTCTCTGTAGACAGTTGTATTTCCAAAATCCACCTCAACCTGGCCCCGATAAGCCTCCCCCGTTGATGGCCCCGATCAAACAAGTTTTATTAATTCTAAATCCAAAGAAAAACCTTTAAAATATCCGGCAAATCCTTCCCCTTTCAGCAAGTATTTGTTTTTTTCACTTATGACAAGGATATAACAAACCAAATATCCTTAACAATTTTGCTTGTACTCCATTTACCACCTCTCATGGGGGCTTCACCAGATGAGGGAAGATTTGCAAAGCACCCCCGGGAAAAAAAAATGAACATGCCAGAGGTTGGCTCAATGCTAGAGTCCCAAAAATTGGGTACACAGACTAGCTAGGTCATTCAAACCATCAATACTTTTAAAAACCACTGGTGACACCAAAAAGTTATACATTTTATCTCAGTTTTTTGAGGCATGCCCTTTCTCATGGATGGATATTTTATGGGGGGTAATGATGGGAAGAAAATAAAAGCCTCACCAAACTAGCTGATTATCAAAAACTATGAATGACATAAAAATAAAGAGAAAAATTTATGTGTTTGAGATGAGAATCCTCTCTCCCCCGTTTTACCTGAGGGCCAAAAAACAACTATTCCCTCTCCCTCCCACTAGTTCATTAATATTAAATTTCCCCTTTCATTTTCATTTATGCTTTTCATTCATCTCCCTTTCAAAATGCTCTTAAGACTTTCCTTCCCACCACTCAACATTTCTTTTCGCTAAAAAATTAAAGGCTTTCTTTTCTTACATGATAGTGTAATATCCTAAAGAACAAAAAACCACAATACCGTGACTGGGACAATACACATAACCCACACATAGGAGAGTGAGGAACTTGCAACTATGTTTTGGTCCAACTTGGAGCATTTACAAAGTCATGCTGATTTTGTAAATGGTTCAAGTCGGACCAAAATGTTGTTGTAAGCTCCTCTCTCCTATATGCGGGTTATTTTATACAGTGCAATATCCTACCAAAAATCAATTCTGGGTAGTCAAAAACAACACAAAAAAGGCATAACAATGTCCAGATAACCAAAATGGTTTCAGCATAAGTTACTCTAAGTGTAGTTAATAAACAAAGTTAAGCAAACATTTGCCCATGAACAGTAAATTTTGGGATCGTCTGTAATGTTAGTTAGTAAATTCATCCAAAGAGAGTTAAGGCCAGGCCAGTACAATGATTTTACTTAGATGAATGTACCTGCTTTATTTCAAGTCAAAAAGTTATTCCATAGTATACTGTACACTGCTTAATACAACTGAACCTTAACCTTTAAACTGTCCAAGCAAATCTACGTTCACATGCGTAGTGCTCCAAAAGTAGATCTACGTTTCTTTTACATATTTTCAAATAGTATAACAAAAAAAAAAGTAGATCAAAGTTTTTTACACGTTTTCAAATGTAAAAAAAAAAAAAGAAGATCTACTTTTTTACATACTTTCAAATCTTGAAAAAACGTAGATCTACATATGGACAGTTTAAGGGTTAAAGAAAAAAATTAGCATATGGTATACTGCTCATTACATGAGGTACTCACCTGAGTGTAAGTTACAGGTGTGGTAGAGCCAGGCTGATAGTAGGTGGTGCCAGCTGAGTACATAGTCGTGTCCCCAACGGTGTACACTGGGTATGCCCTGTTTATGACGGAAGAACCATTCACCAAATATTAAAAAAGGTGATACACTCTACAGATGATTGGTCTAATACCTACAGAATACAATCATATACAATTATACATGTATATACAGCAGAATCAACTTCTGATAAAAGATTATATACAATTGCAAAGAATTTAGCTTCGTTAAATGCCAAGTAAACAAAATGGATGAGTGATAATTGTAAAAGAATGATTATAAAGGCATTACCAGAATATGACATCAATCTACAGGTCTCTCTGATGTAATACTGACAACTTCAAAATGTTTCAAATACTGCATTTGGATGATGGTATGATAAAACTAAACTTCACAACATGTCTAAAATAAAAATTGGAATATGTAGCTGTAGTACGATGTCCACACTTAATTTTGAAAATGGAGTAAATTCTAAAAGATTCAATCATTCAACAAAATGGGTTCCAGAGTAAAGCTTTGAGTTACAAAGACAGAACAGTAGAAATATTTTTGTTGAAAGACAGAAGCTACGAGGAAATATGATTACAGCATTATATATAATTTTATAAACATGTAAAAAAATGAGCAAGTAATATTTTATAGTACTAGCAACAGAGAAATTAGAAAGGCCATCATTTCAGATTAGAAAAAAAGTTGTCGAGAAAATACAATAGGAAGTACAGGAGGGCCCCACATACGCAGCACCTTCTTCTCGGTGTTCCACATATTTGTTGGCTTCAAATTAAGCCACAGTTCATCATGTTCACATCCAGTAATAGTTACTGGTACGTGGAATAATGAGTCAACTGAAAATCAACAAAAATGTGGAACACAGAAAATAGGCGCCTTACACGCAGGGCTCTCCTGTACAGTATTTCTTCACAAACAAAGCAACTGTAAGCTGGAGATACCCTGCAACAGGAGGTACTGTACATCACAGCCACTGGAAACTTTCACAAAAAAAAATATAATTACACACAAATACAGTTGTAAAAAATTAAATAAAGTACCAATATTTGAAAAAACAGGAGACCCACCAGTACAGAATATTACAACTAACAAACAACACAAGTAATGCACATCTGTAATTACAAATGGGGCACTTAGGAACCAATTAAAATTTTACAAGTGCTGAGGTGCAACACAAACATGTCTGAAACATAACCTCTGAAGTGTTTTTCTATACCCTATTAACAACTCATTGTATGTTGAAACACCAAGAACACAACTTGTTCATAAACTGAAACATCAGGAATTCACTTTATCTGTGGGCTGGTGCCTGACTCCAATACACTTGATTTATATATTCTTTAAATTCATGGAGAAAACATGAACTATGGGACAATACTAGACCTAACCTTAAGAGTACTGACTTCAAAATAGACCAGCAGAACAGGCTCAGACAAGGCAGGGCAGGCCTCATACACCTAAAAACACTCCTATAACAAACTGACAAACATAACACAAGCAAGGGAAGATGGGAAGACTTCATATTCTTGGATGAAGGTGTATCTAATTACCAAACTGACTAGAGGAAGATGTAAATAACCTGCCTATAGAGACTGGATTCTATACATCAAAGTTTGCAGATGACACAAAGCTCATGAGTTCAACAGAAATGATATGCAACCTCAGAAAACCATATGGACAACCTACAAGAAAGATCCCATAAGTTGTTACAAATACAAAGTGAAGAAGGCAAGAGAAAGAAGGCCAGTTGTATCTTACTGAATGATAGGTAGGCAACTGCCAGGGTTTTGAAAGGAAACTGATCTAAGGGTGGACATAGCACTGAACTTATCACTGAAAGCTTATGTAAACAGGATAATGTCACCTGCATATAAAAAATTAACATATAAATAAGAAGTCCTTTTAGGACTTACAATAAGGATTCTTACAGCATAATATACACTATATAAATGAGTTTAATATTAATGAATAAAGATGCAGAATGTAATCAGGATATCCTAAAATATATGAGGAGCTTGAAAAGGTATTGAGATTTGGCACCTGACTTTTTTTTTCGATACAAAGAGTCTGAGCTGAGGACACACTGAAATGACTACATCTCACAACAATGGATAGAGAAAGTTCAGAGGAAATATTGTATACATGAGGTGAATAAAAACAGTTTGAAAGGGTTGAAATCAGGATGAAGGGATACAAATAAAAATTAAACATGCAAATGAACAAAGGCATATATAAGGAGAAAGTTCTTCAATGTAACAGTAGCAAGAGAGTGGAACACATTAGCACTAAGATGATGCTAATATGTCAGGAACACAACCCTCCAGGAATGAACCAGCAAGGCTGGACCTTATATTCATCCTAAGCAATTCTGAAGTAGGAGACATAAAACTGAGATGCTCCTTGGTACTAACAACCACAGAGTACTGAGTCTCAAATATGTTGTGGAAGTAAATTTTGAGAGAATCATAGCATGGGAAGAGAGAAACCAAACTTTAAGGCTGGAGACTACATAGGCATGAGACAATTCCTGAATAAAGCGCAGTGGGAAAGGGAACTAGAAGAAAAGACAATTAATGAAATATTTTATGTAGGTGGAGGAGATATTCACACCCAGGAGCAGAAGTAGTAATGGAGAGAACAGAACGAACCCATAGATCATCCAGAGGTGCAGAGAGGCAAAAGCTGAAAGTGTAGGAGCATGGAAAAAATACACAGAAAAACAAGGAAGCTAGCAGAAGGTGTGTGGAAAACAGCAGATGTCACCCTAATACTTAAGAAAGAGGACAGATAGACAGAATTAAATTACAGGCCAGTGTCAATGACATGTACTGTATGTAAGGTTATAGAAAAGATAAATAGAAGCATGGTGGAGCACCTATATATCAGGGGGGTCATAAACATCCAGCATGATTTAAGAGATGGTAAATCCTGTCTCACAATCTTCTATGATAAGGTAACATAAGTGAGGTAAGAGAGAGAAGAATGGATATATTCCCTGTTCTCCAGATGCTATATAACCCAAGAGCACCCATACACCAGTCTAGTTAATGTAAAACCAATCATCAGAAGTCTTAAGATGGAAGCTTTAAACTACTATTTACCACAAATGTAAGATCCACCTTTGATAATCCAGTACTAGTGTACATCCTGACATATACCTCTGACTGGCTTTGAAAATTCTTCTACTTTACTCTCACAACTCAGCCTGAGACCAAATTTTACTACCAAGTGCCTGATCAACCAGGCTGTCGCTACCTGTGGTCCACAGACCTACCAGTCTGATCCATCACTTACTGCAGATACTGGTCCTATATCCTCCTATAGACATCTACCTTTGTTCTGGCAATATTTAATATAGTGTGTCTGATAGCAGAAAGTTGAAGAATCCTGGGCCACAGATGCTGACACAGTCTTCTCTAAACTATGCATATAGTGCCCCTTGCTTTTTACTGTTTATTATATACTTCAACCTACAGCTGTATCTAGCCAAGTGTATAACATAAACAGAACAACTTTAGACATTTTCTACTAGACTGGTACAGCAGCTGAGAGGTAAGAGCTATAAGGAAAAATTTAGCTTGACATTGTAACTCTGGAGAGCATAGGTCAAGAGGAGATGTAACCACAACACAGAAAATACTCAAAGCCATAAACTGAGAAGAAAGGTATAGCGAATTTGATAAGGGAGGGCCCAAAACAGAGAGACCTAGCTGGAACTGAACATTAAAAAAAGCCACAAATATGTTACAGAGCATTTCTAAAGCATATCAGAAGTAAAGAAATTAAATGCTCTAGGAAACAATATAACAGAAAACAATTTCATGTACAGGTTCAGATGTAAACTTGACAGAGCGACAACATTTCAACTGAATGAAACTTAAGTGGCTTGTCCTGAAGCTGTATCTCCATGTCCCAACTCAGCTAGGTAAATACAGCATACATCCAGAAATAAATATGGTTACACACATTATGAATTACATGGCTCAAACATAAATATATAAGACAATATAAATATGTGGCTAACTATATTTGTAGCAATGCAGGAGTTCCACTCATCTACAGTTATACACTCTTCATATATACAGCAGTCCCTACAAATTCGTGGGTTTTCATATTTTGGGATTTTTACTGAAAGGCAACCAGTGAATAGATTCTTATCCAATGATTTTCTACCTAAATGGCTTTCATACACACAAATCAATATTTCTTCTGGTGATTACTTCTTACGAATTTCAATTTTAATCAGACTAGAATAATATATTACATACATATTATTGCCAAAACACAAATTAAAGGAAAACCAGAAACAAATTTAGTTTTGTACCACCTAATTTAGACATTATTCACAGTTTCTATTTTTGTGGAAACTCTAGAGACATACCCCACCTTCCCCCCCACGAATCTGTAGGAATGACTGTACTACAGACATATGGATGACAAAGTCATGAATTTTGCAAAAAATGAATATCACCATACCCTTCAGAAACAAGGAAAAATGGTGGAGAAATCTTTTCAAGATTGCTAAGTATTCTTTAACAGTGTTATTGGAAAACAATGAAGAACTGTAATTACCACACTTAGCTTAGGTACGTGTGGGTTCGGTCTAAGCTAAGTGTAAGTCCTACATTTGCTCCTGGTATTTCTCATGGCAATGAAGAGGAATCCTCAACAATCTTGAAAAACTTGTCCCACCATTTCCTTATTTATAGAGGATGTTGTGATATGCACATATGAATGCAGAAATAGCGGAGTAATAGTGGCAGTGAGGGTGATGGTACTCAAATTATATTGGTGATGGTGGTAGTGACAGCAACTGAGACACTGGTAGTGACAACAACAACATAAGTGGCTGATATGACAAAAGAGGAGGTGGTGCCAGTAAAAAACAGTATATGTGGTGGCAAAATTTTTATAAATGCTGCAGTTATTGTTGTCTGAGAGTTAACAGTAGTGAAAAATTCTCAGAATTATTGTTTGCACTTGTGAAGGTGGTAATGCAGTAGTACTGAGTAAGCAATGGGGAAACAGGGTGTTGATAAGTGGTAACAATA